GGTTGTTGTATCTTGGGCTACCCACTCACCCAATTTTAGTACTTAAGACATGCAACCTCACCAGTATAATCAACACTATTAATTTATATTGTAGTTATTATGTTGAGCTCAAATTTTGCTCCCATGTCATTTATCAATAATCTTACCTTTACCAGTTAGATTAAGAACCTGCCCGAAATGCTGTGCGTGTTAATAGCCTTACAAGAATGTAAGAACACCAATGTTATGTACTTTTAAAACACAATGTACCTTCTTGTATATAAATAAATAAATAAATAAATAAAAGGAAAGGATGGCATTTCTTGTTTACTACAACACAATTTAAGACTGTTGTTGCATTTGAATATATGGCGCGTTCAAAACTTGGTAATTGCATGTGAAATATTAATAACTGATACTACACAATACAACAATTAAGAATTGAATATACATTAAATAGTAGATGGTGTGGACGACTCGCTGTGCCCCGCAGTTTTAAACAACGATTCCCTCTACTCAAGTCCCTCCATTATAATAACTCATTGTGTCGGGGGACAGAAAGCCAGAGTATATTCATACACGTTAGACTTATATCGACGCCTCCCTCCCCCCCCCCCCCAAGGCCGAAATACTGACCCGGTACAGGATGCAACTGCACAACAAGCTGACTAACTCCTGAGTACCTACTTACTGCTTGGTGAACAGAGGTATTAAGTGAAAGAAAATGAGCCTAACTGTTTCTATCCCGCCCGATATTCGAACCCAGAATTCTCGATTGTGCGCCTAGAACGAACCCGACTGTACTTCCGGGACCCTTTAATTATTACAAAAACAAATAATATGAAGCTTCAGGTACACAACAGTTATCCAGTTAGCAGAGTTTAGTTCGTTTATTATGCACCCCATTCCCATGCCGTTGGCGGTAGTGGAGAGGGTTACAGAGGCACATAATGGGCTCCGGGACTGAGCACCAAGATTCATTTACCTAAGCAAGTTAGTCTTGATGTGCAAGTTACTAATGTAAGTTAACATTACATTAAAATTACAGAAGTTCGAGATGTGTAGTTAATAGGCTGTAGTATCAGGTCCCAGCTCTGCCTACCTGTATATACATGTTAACCAGCGAACACAAAAGGTAGATATACACCCAGAAGTGTACTCCATCTCTGGGCGTATGTACCCCGAGTTTACTTTAGACTTTTACTTCTGAGCGTTTATGCTCACCAAACATATAGTCTCTTTAGACACGATAATTTTGCCTATGAAAGCCTTTATACAACATATTATTGATGAGACTCGACTAGACTAGAACAAATAAAACTATTATACATAAATAATTCTAGTAATGCACATTTTCTTAAGCTGAGCCATGAAGCACGAGTCTCACCCGTAGTGACTACACCAGGTACTCACCGCCAGGAGGAACGTTGGACCCATCGCCGAACACTGACACAGTCCCGACTACACTGACGCCCGCTCCCCTTACTATACCTCCCTCCTTGATCCCGCCCACTTTACTACACCCCCTCTCCTCGCTCACGCCTACCTTACTACACCTCCCTCCTCGCTCACGCCTACCTTACTACACCTCCCTCCTCGCTCACACCCACCTTACTACACCTCCCTCCTCGCTCACGCCTACCTTACTACACCTCCCTCCTCGCTCACGCCTACCTTACTACACCTCCCTCCTCGCTCACACCCACCTTACTACACCTCCCTCCTCGCTCACGCCTACCTTACTACACCTCCCTCCTCGCTCACGCCTACCTTACTACACCTCCCTCCTCGCTCACACCCACCTTACTACACCTCCCTCCTCGCTCACGCCTACCTTACTACACCTCCCTCCTCGCTCACGCCTACCTTACTACACCTCCCTCCTCGCTCACACCCACCTTACTACACCTCCCTCCTCGCTCACGCCTACCTTACTACACCTCCCTCCTCGCTCACACCCACCTTACTACACCTCCCTCCTCGCTCACGCCTACCTTACTACACCTCCCTCCTCGCTCACACTTACCTTACTACACCTCCCTCCTCGCTCACGCCTACCTTACTACACCTCCCTCCTCGCTCACGCCTACCTTACTACACCTCCCTCCTCGCTCACACCCACCTTACTACACCTCCCTCCTCGCTCACGCCTACCTTACTACACCTCCCTCCTCGCTCACGCCTACCTTACTACACCTCCCTCCTCGCTCACACCTATATTACTACACCTCCCTCCTCGCTCACGCCTACCTTACTACACCTCCCTCCTCGCTCACACCCACCTTACTACACCTCCCTCCTCGCTCACGCCTACCTTACTACACCTCCCTCCTCGCTCACACCTACCTTACTACACCTCCCTCCTCGCTCACGCCTACCTTACTACACTTCCCTCCTCGCTCACGCCTACCTTACTACACCTCCCTCCTCGCTCACACCCACATTACACCTCCCTCCTCGCTCACGCCTACCTTACTACACCTCCCTCCTCGCTCACACCTACCTTACTACACCTCCCTCCTCGCTCACGCCTACCTTACTACACCTCCCTCCTCGCTCACACCACCTTAATACACCTCCCTCCTCGCTCACGCCTACCTTACCTGGTTGATACCTGCTTGATGGGGTTCTGAGAGTTCTTCTACTCCCCAAGCCCGGCCCGAGGCCAGGCTCGACTTGTGAGAGTTTGGTCCACCAGGCTGTTGCTTGGAGCGGCCCGCAGGCCCACATACCCACCACAGCCCGGTTGGTCCGGCACTCCTTGGAGGAATAAATCTAGTTTCCTCTTGAAGATGTCCACGGTTGTTCCGGCAATATTTCTTATGCTTGCTGGGAGGACGTTGAACAACCGCTGACCTCCGATGTTTATACAGTGTTCTCTGATTGTGCCTATGGCACCTCTGCTCTTCACTGGTTCTATTCTACATTTTCTTCCATGTCGTTCACTCCAGTACGTTGTTATTTTACTGTGTAGATTTGGTACTTGGCCCTCCAGTATCTTCCAGGTGTATATTATTTGATATCTCTCTCGTCTTCTTTCTAGTGAGTACATTTGGAGGGCTTTGAGACGATCCCAATAATTTAGGTGCTTTATTGCGTCTATGCGTGCCGTATATGTTCTCTGTATTCCCTCTATTTCAGCAATCTCTCCTGCTCTGAAGGGGGAAGTGAGTACTGAGCAGTACTCAAGACGAGACAACACAAGTGACTTAAAGAGTACAACCATTGTGATGGGATCCCTGGTTTTGAAAGTTCTCGTAATCCATCCTATCATTTTTCTGGCTGTCGCAATATTTGCTTGGTTATGTCCTCCTCGCTCCCGCCCGCCTTACTACACCTCCCTCCTCGCTCACGCCTACCTTACTACACCTCCCTCCTCGCTCACGCCCGCCTTACTACACCTCCCTCCTCGCTCACGCCTACCTTACTACACCTCCCTCCTCGCTCACGCCTACCTTACTACACCTCCCTCCTCGCTCACACCACCTTACTACACCTCCCTCCTCGCTCACGCCTACCTTACTACACCTCCCTCCTCGCTCACGCCTACCTTACTACACCTCCCTCCTCGCTCCCGCCCGCCTTACTACATCCCCCTCCTCGCTCCCTTCCGCCTTACTACACCTCCCTCCTCGCTCCCTCCCGCCTTATTACACCCCCCTCCTCGCTCCTACCCGCCTTTACTACACCCCCTCCTCGCTCACGCACGCCTTATTGTACAGCTGTGAACACTTCCGGAACAAGTGCTTAGTTGACTTGTTCTAACCACAACGCTATAAATGCTTCACCGACGTACTACAAATGCTAGTAGTCCCCAACAGAACCTAAACACCTAACCAATGCCTAAATATGCACAGTATCTAATATACATTATTATTTTATATGAGAAAATTTATGTTTGGATTGAACATGTTAAAATTGATGAATGCGTCTCTGGGTCCAACCTCCGAATGGAATGAACCCGTCTGAGGACGGGTTGTTCACTTTGAACTGGTAAAATTTTTATTTAAGAACGAAGAGAACGGAACATGGATAGAAAGAGACAGTACCCTGGAAACAAACCGAAATTTCCGCTTGTTACAACTTGTAATAAAGTTGTTACATCTTAGCTTAACGTGTTTATGACGTATTAGAACGTTGTTACAACTTGCTATATTGGTTGTAATAACTGGTTGTGTTAAAACTTGTTCGAACGTTGTACCAACATCGTAGTTTCGGTGTGGCGGGTATACCATTTACTCAAAGATACAGGAAGCAGTTATGAATGTTCAACTGAAAACACTCTGGGAACCAATACCATCTTTCCGGATCATGAAAACAGTAAAGTTAGGGATTCCAGCAGAAGCTGAAGGGAACAAGAAAGGAACAACTGCATTACTGACCAGGATGAGCGCAAAACATCGGCTCGTTATAACACAAAGTAGTGAACATAGAGATTAGAAGTCGGTTTATGAAAATTAGTATAAAATCCAAGGAAAATACAAGGGCAAAGAATACGTGTTACTACCCGCCCAAACTACGACGTTGGTGCCACTTTCAAACAAGTTTATATAACAATTGTGACTGCTACATTGTTAGTGTGCAGGGCAGAGGAAGGATAGAGATGGCAGTGCACTGTACCAGGGACAGCTCCAAAGGTAGAAATACGGGCATATGACAACTGGCATAGCATGCTCTTCGCTCCCACCAAAGATGCAAGGAGAAGGTTTAACAAATATGAAAGTTGAAATTACTTCAACACCTATTGTCAGAATAGGAAAATTTGTATAATTACACATTTTAATTGCATTACAGTAAAACAATATATGACCTGATATTAGAATTACTTTGATCGTATTAAGAGGGATTTGACCATTTATAATGGTATAAATCAAAGTAAAACATCTTACTAGAAACTTATGAAAATATTAACTAGATTTCTAATCTTAATGGCCAAAAAAGTGCCAAAGCTATAGAACTAAAAATCTTTAATTACAACCGTATTTAAGTACTGTACTATACAACTGGACAGAAACAAACTATTACATTTAATAATTTTTAATATTTCAAGTAAAAATATCACAATATAACACTTCACTGAAACTGGAATAATTTAAAAAATATTTAAAAGAAAACATCTACAGAATTAAGAAATTGTTAACAGTATATTATAATTACAAGTCATACCTGTAATTATGTCAGATGAGAATTCTTGACATTTAGAAAATTATCTAGCCTAACAAAATAAAAATTGTGAACCTCTACTAATTAGTAGGCAATAAATAGGTATGCTTTTCTAACCTATTTGATAATGCGTGTGGTATTTTTATCTCGAGAACAATGGTATTAATAACGACAAATTCACAATGGACCATCTCTTGTTGGAAGCTTGCCAAGTTCTATCTCAAATTTATCTTTGCCATACACAGTACTTAATTCTGGTATAACATCCTTACTTCACAATGTCTTCATATACATATTAATAATACATTATTGGAACTTAATTAACATGCAATTATTTTGCATGATATTAAAATATCTTAATACTTGAAAAAAATTCAAGATTTCCACAACTTTAGTTTTGACCTAAAATGTAATTATTTCCCAATACGAATAATTTATTCTTGTGCCTCATCAATATCTATATTTCCTCAGAATCTGATAATTGATGGGGAAAAAGGAAATAATTAAATAAATGCCATTCTATAAAAACTTTATAAATTATAAAAGATTATATTTGTTTAGCTAAAATATATACAATTTTAGCTAGTTTAATATACTATCAAATATTTAAATGATGTAATTAAAAATTACAAAAAATCATGTGAAAAGCAGTGATGGTCATGTAAAATGATCTCGACATTAAAACTTTTTCTTATTCGGAAAATGGCCACCGCGACCAGATTTTCGCTTCTTCGCTGGATTGGCTCTAGCTCTGGATCGCGCTTCCTTCATCTTTTTTATCTGAGCGTCCTCCTCATCTCCTTCAACTATGCGTAAGTCTGCTTCCAAGTCCTTAATCTGGAATTAAATGGATCAGAAGTTAGATAGGAACCATAACTATTCTTAAAAAACAAAAGGAAAAAAACTATAGGAAAGACCATGGAACTGATACAGAAGATTCTGCAAGAGGACTTGCTGCCATGTCCTCAGATGTTCCTATCTAGAAAAAGAAGTGATTAATAAGGCTAGGTTTGGGCACCTGGACAGAACACCCAAAATCAAGCAGTCATAAAATGTCCCTTTCTGTGCAACTTCAGTAGATTCCTGGTAAAGTAATTGACACTGGTACCAGATAAGATAAAACAACACAGATGTTGAACTTGTGTAGACCTGCTAAATGCCAGGACTAAGTATTTATCAAAAGAAGGCACAAAGCGGGGTAGACTGGCACTACCAGGACCAGCATGTGGCATGCCCACAATCTTTCAATACTCGCCTAGTTGTGTTTGCAGGGGGTTGAGCTTTGACTATTTGGTCCCACCTCTCAAATGTCAATCTACTGGTATACAAATTCCTGAGCCTATTGGGCTCGATCATTTCTACATGTGAAACTGTGGACTCTTCCTAACTCCTAAAGGATTTTCTGTCCCAGCTGGTACCTTGTGTTTGGCTGCCGCCTCTTCCTTACTCCTATCTTCAGCACGCTGCACTTGCTCGAGTTAACCACTAGTAGCCATTTGTTGGACCATTCCTTAAGTCTGTCCAAGTCATCTTGTAGCCTCTTGCTGTCCTCATCTTAATCCTTTTCATAACTTTAGCATCAGCAAACATTGAGAGGAACGAGTCTCTACCTTCTGGAAGGTCTGCTCGATACCTGCTTGATGGGGTTCTGGGAGTTCTTCTACTCCCCAAGCCCGGCCCGAGGCCAGGCTTGACTTTCGAGTTTGGTCCACCAGGCTGTTGCTTGGAGCCGCCCGCAGGCCCACATACCCTCCACAGCCCGGCTGATCCAGAACTTCTCTTAGAAGACAGTCCAGTTTTCTCTTTGAAGATGTCCACGGTTGTTCCGGCAATATTTCTTAAACGCTGGGATGACGTTTAACAACGGCAGACCTCTGATGTTTATAGTGTTCTCTGATTGTGCCTATGGCACCTCTGCTCTTCACTTGTTTTATTCTGCATTTTCTTCCATATCGTTCACTCCAGTACGTTGTTATTTTACTGTGTAGATTTGGGACCTGTTCCTCCAGTATTTTCCATGCTTAAATTATTTGGTATCTCTCGTCTCCTTTCTAGAGTACTTTTGGAGGTCATTCACATGTATCAGAAACAAGATAGGTTAGAGTACAAAACCCTGAGGGGACTGCTGGTGACATCACACCATTCTGAGGTCTCGCTCTTCACAGTAACTGCTTCCTATTTAGATATTCCCATATCCACTGGGGCACCTTATCACTTACACCAGCCTGTTTCTCCAACTCTTGCAACACTTATGGGGGACTTTGTCAAAAGCTTTCCAACAGTGCAAGAAAATGCAGTCTGCCCACCCATCTCTTTCTTGCTTGATCATAGAATTCTATTAAACCTGTGAGACAATTTGCCATCACTGAACCTGGTCCCTTCTCTACAGATATGCTACCAGCCTTTTTCTCACGATCTCCATTACCTTGCATAGTTTTATACAGATTAAGGACATCCGGCCTGGGCCTCCTGCCTATCACCCTTTTTTTTTATATTGGGACTGTTAGTTGTCTTCAACTTTCTGGTAGATCCATTTCCAGTGACTTGTTATGTACCAAGAGTGGCATGCAAAGTACTTCTGCCCCCTTGTTTAGCATCCATGGCAAGAGTCCATCAGGTCCAACAGCCTTAGTAAGTAATTATCAATTATAATTGATAATTAAGTAATTGAGTAATTAAGTAATTATCAATTATAGTAATTAGTAATTATTAAGTATCAAAGAGAGACACCAAACCGGGAAGGCTATGTAGCACCATCAGATGTGTGGAATAATCAGAGGGCGCTAAATATCACCAAGGATGCCAATACGAGAACAGAAACATATAAGGCAAACAATATCAAAATTATCAGATTCACCAAGAATGCTATAGAGGGACAAGTGACCGCGAGGGACGGTCAGAAAGCAAGACATACGCTAGTCCTGGAAGTTAGGACATTCAACAAGGATATGCCCGACTGTAAGAGGGACAATGAATGCAATTTGGACAGAAAGGAGCTGGGCAGCGCTCCATTAAGCGAGCGTAAGTTAAGCGAGTATGGCCAAGATGCAACCTTACTAGAGCAGTTTCCCACTGCCGGTTACTGTGGCAGGAGGCCATGAGGACACACAACCCTTAAGAGTATGCAGTTTGTTACCAATAACAGAAGACCAACAAGCCTGCCAACGGGTAAAGATGGAGGAATGAATAACTGGGCAAGTCGGAATAAGGAATACTTTTACGAGAGATGAGACGAGCAGACAGCTTCCCTAGCAGCAGCATCCGCATGCTCATTTAACACTATCGTTCACCGGGCGTGCGAGTAAGCGCACGGTGACACCTAAATGTGCATACTCGTTTCAGCTTTCTCACCGGAATTCTCGCGCTACGTCGCTCGTTTGGTATCATTGTGTTCGCAATTAAATTCCCTACAGATGTGTATGAATATAATGTACAAAAGCCTGGAGTGCCTCCCCACAGAAAAGCCTAAAGGTAACCGTGAACAAGCACCAATTTGTACACTGCAACCTAATGTGTATACTCGTTCAATTTGATAACATCAAATCTCGCGTTACGTTTTTCCTTTTGGTATCAAATTGTTTGCGAAGTAAAGGCGCGCATTTTAAAACTAGTCTCAAGATAATAGGACAATAAATAGATTTTTAACAAATATTTTAATATTTTGACCAAAAGCCTATTTATAATCTTTCAAGTGTTCGGATATCAAGTTTCATGTTATATCTTTCATTTTGGTATCAAATTGTGCGCAATCTAAAGGCGCTTATTTTGATACTATCCCAAGGTCGATTGGATAAAAAATGAATTTTATACAAATATTTTTTGTAGTGGACGCGAGTCCTGTCCAAAGTTACCGATAGTGTTAAAGAAAGACCACTATGACTGGGATCATAGCAAAACTCAACCAACTTAAATTTACTGTGAATAAGAAACAGCCAATGCTGTATCGACAACCACTAGATGAACCGGATTAAAAGGACCCGAGAGCCATGAGGGCACTTCGAGAGTCAATGACAACCACAAAGGAAGATTGACAACAAGGAAGCAGGAGACAAAGAGCATAGAGAATAGCATAAAGTTCCACTGTGAAGATGCTAGTCTCCGGAGATAAGCGACACGTAGCGAATATTTGTAGGCACATAAGCGAAGTGCTGTCAGGAAAAACAACAGAGTAGCCTATACCGTCCACAGACTTAGACCCATCGGTGAAGATGGAAACTGAGCGGGAGTGTGAAGAAAAGTGCTCAAGGAAAAGGCACTTCAGGACCATAGGAGGGGTAAAAGCGTCAGTGATGCGGGTTAAGGATGTACAAAACTACGGAAGGACTCCATAGGGCCAAAGGAGGAACAACACGAGGAGAAATATTAGAAATACGAACTGAAAGAGAATCATGTAAGCGAGATAACCAGACAAAGGTGGTGAAGAGGAACAGGAACCACAGGAGGGGTAAAAGTTAAAACATGACAGAGGTACTGCGCATGATAGCGAAGACAGTAGTGATCATGGTGGTCCTGGAGATAGGAAGCCAGTGTCAACATAGAAGCTGAGGACGGGAGTCGAACGAAAGGCACCAGAACCGAGGCGCAAGCCAGTATGGTGCAAAGCATCAAGACGGCAAAGAGGAGGAGAAGCAGACGAGTAAGCAGGGCAACAATAAGAGAGTTTAGACAGGACGAGAGAGGAATGTAAAGCAAGGAGAGTGTCTATCCACTCAAAGAAGTATGGTACAACACCTGAAGGAGGGTAAGGGCCTTGGAGCATTCAACTTGAAGGTAAGAGATATAGGGCGACCAAGATGAGTGTCAAAAATCAACTTCAAAAGCTTAGCGCAATACTTTTACACAATGGGGGCGACCATAAAGGGACAAAAAAAGAACGAAGAACGACACTCTTCCGAGTAAAAGTCATAGCACAAGTCTTAGATGTAGAGAGCTTGAAGCCATGATCGGTGGCCCAGGACGACACGGCATCGATCACAAGTTGAAGCCGGCGTTGAAGGAAACGCAAATCACCACCCTGACAGCAAAGGGTTAGATCGTCGACAGAGAGCGGAGAAGACACCAGAAGGAAGAGAGTAAAGACCATTTAGGGCAACCAGAAAACGAGTAGAGGAAGGGGCAGGCCCCGAGTCAGAACACTACCTTGGGGCACACCTTTGTATTGTATTTATACCGAGAAGAGGCAGAAAGAGCGGTACCAAGCCTCACCCGAAAGGAATGACGAGAGGGGAAGCTTTGGAGAGAGAGAGAGATTACCACTAAGGCCAAAAGAATGTATTCCTACTAGAAATGGTTTAATCTTATTACAGTTTGCCCTTCTGTATGCCAGCCTTTTGCTTTTCAGCCCTTTCCTTTGATAGGTCATTCCTAGTTCCACCAGATACTCAAATGTTAGGACACTGCGGTCACTCATCATGATTTGATTTCCCCTTCTCGTTCAGGGTGAATATCAGATAAAGTCTGGCTGGTTCATCATTTCCTCTATTCACCCTTCCACATGCTCATCTGTTTGTCCATTCATCTATCTACTGCGTCTCAGTCTCTTAGGAGGAAATTATGAACAGTAATAAATTTGTTAATTTCTCAAGAGATCAGTAAAAAATTGTGCACATTACTATAAGAAAAATTGGGTTGAAAAGCTTGTTTTGAAAATATTTAGCTCTGAAGATGGCAGGCAGTGCCAAAAATTGCTATGGGGGTCTGAATGTGACCCTGACACTGTTCCCTTTTGAATTCTGCCGACCCTGACAAGCCAATGTTCATCCCATACCCCGAGACCATGCCCCCTGCTAATTTGGGCGAGGCTAGCCCCCCACCCCATGTTGAAAGTGGGATTTTTGATCCTAGTGTTTCTATTCTGCCAAGTACAGTATTATGCCCCAACAAATGAGGGTTGGAGGAATACATGTTTTTGAATTACTCAACAATTACAATTACTCATCACAATCATGAGTAATTCTTGTGAAAATAATGTGCTTTAGAGCAAAAATAGGATAAAAATTTTTACTATACCTTTAACTTCCCTTCCATCTTTTCCAGAACTTTCTTGTTGAATTCTTCTTCTTTGAAACGTATGTATCCTTTTGTCATACCACGGCTAAAATCAATCCATGCACACTGATCACCAAACTCTCCCAGGGACTCTTTAACGTCTTCCCTGGTTGCTTCAGATCCTTCAGTCAGGCCAGAAAAGTAAAGGAAAGTACCCTTTGGAATCTCCATCTCTGTCGTTTCCTGCAGAACATAATAAAGCAGTACGTATGTTAGTCAAACTTAACAAGAATAAATGTGAAAATTTAATAATTGCAAGAAATCAAATATGATTCAAGCCACTTATAATTTCACCCAAAATAATTATTCTGAATTTGATTAATTAGTAATTTCCAAGTCACGGCTCTTTACTACTGTAGTTTTAGAGATGCTATTACCACAATACAATTACCACTTACAATTAATTTTTTATCCTACTATGACTTACTACTACTAGTGCTGGTATAAAAATATTAACTGGTTTTAGCTTAACCCTTAGACAACAGCTATAAAAGAAAGGGTCACCCTGCCTGCCTGCCTGCCTGCCTACCTACCTACAGCATCTGCTGGCAAACAAGACCCACACTTTTTTTTTGGGGAGGGAGGGAGGGAGGGAGGGGGGGAATGAGCCCCATTTAAAACGGCCATAATAGGGAAAAGATAATGAGCAGGGAGCAGGATGAGTACACAGCAAGGTCCCCAGGCACAAAATCAAGTGCCCATAATAAGAACAAAGAAACCAAGCCAAAGACTACAGTCTGTGAACACACCACTAAGGTACTGTAATATCCCAGTGTCGTACACAAGACAAGACTGCTCCAGGAACACAAGACTGGGAGACATGACCACCACCCACATTTCCTCGGGAAATGGACAGTAGAAAAGATGAAAAAATAAATACAATTGGTACACAGGCAGTAACCGTACCCAAAGGAGCCACGGAGACATGAAAAAGAACATGTTCAGAGGCAGTAGTAAGGGAATGCAGAAGGCAGTGATGAGGTGCAGGCTGCAAACATGTGTAAATCAGTACACTGGCAAGTAGAATGACTGGTAAGAGGTGGGCCCAAAGAGCCAAAGCACAACTAAAGGAGCACAAACTTATGAAAATGACAGACAACACATCAGCACGGATAACAGAGCACATACCAAATCACGTACCTCCCCATTTAATAGCAGACATAACCCACACGAGACATGTCAAGTGAATGAGTAACCGGTAAGAACAATGGTGCATTAACTAAACGAAAAATTCCTCCAAAAGCAGGAAAGGAATGATAAAATTACAACTGCCCTGCCACCATATTCAGACTAGCCCTGCCCAGAAGGCACATTAACCAAATCAAGAGGCAATAGAAGCCCAAGTGCTCCAAGAACACCGAGCACCTGGAAGCCCAAGTGCTCCAAGAACACCGAGCACCTGGAAGCCCAGGTGCTCGGTGTTTTTGTACACATGACTAGAAACAAATTACAACTATAGAACAGTAAAGTGCATAAACACATGCTGCCAAATTTAAATACTCATGGCTAGAATGAATTAAAACCTATTTCCAAATATTTGCTTTAAGTGTGATGATTTTTTTGTTATAAGTCTTTGAACTTTGGGAAAAGGAGAAAATGGAAATAATTTAATGAACACTTTTACGAGGAAACAATGAAAGGTGTCTTTGCAACTAAAGTAACAACTACAGAATATATCTGAAGATTGAATGATGATAATCTGTTATGTCAAAACAGTGTGGTCACTGGCTCTGGCTGTGAGTAAATGTTTCACACGAGTACCAGTGCAGCATTCTGTAAGAACAGATTTGCATACTGGAGATTTAATCAATCACCCCCATCTGGATGGTTAGACAACTTACTGGACTAACATCTTCCTTGTTCTCATCAGTTTTCTCCTCTTTCTTCTTCCTCGCTTCTTTCCTGGCTTTACGTTCTTCAATTTCCTTTTTCTTCTCTTCTACATACTCTTCGTGCCATTTACGAAGCAGATGAACATTTAGATATTTGACTTCATTTAATTCCTTAAATTCCTTTGCTTTTTCTTCCGTTGGAAATACAATCAGAATTGATCCTTTAAAACCCTGCTTCTTCGATTCCTTGTCAAAATAATGACGCATCTGAAAATAAAAAGTTTCACTGACAACAATGCTTAAATACAAGGATTACAATATTATGGGTACATTTCTGATTTTGTACATAATTAATGTATATCCAAAAAAGATAAATGCAGTGAAAACCGTTAACTATACAAACATTCAACTTTAATGTCCCATTAATATAAAACCAGATACAAATACCATGCAAATTCTACTAATCACTAATATCCTTGGGAGATTGAAGCCCACCCTTGCCAATCCCCTTCTTTCTCCTCCACATACACCCACTTCCTGTATCTAATGTGACCATTGCCTAATTTTGTTTCACTCGGTTGCCTTTGTATTAATTTTGACAGTCCCTCGTTCGCAATGTCAACAGCAGCATCACGCACCAGAATAGTTTCATATGGTCCATACTTCTTGAAGTATTCCAGTAGGTCATCTAGCTTCACTGACCCATCTTTTGGGAAGCCTTTGCAGTAGATGGTACGCTTCATTGTCTCTTCTTTTAGCTCATCATTGAAGATTGGTAATGGGTGAGAAGGAGATCGGCGAATTTTTTCATTATTTTCATGGATCTGAAAGTATACATGAAGCCATCTTTAAAAATCTTTTATAATAATGGAAATTTGCCGAAATATAACCAATATTCGTTTAGTATTGGATGCAAAGGAAAGAATCCTGTCTAGAGAAAATAATTTAAAGTTCTAAGTGAGTGGGCTGTATATTCATCATACTAAAACATGCTGCCCAAAATAACTAATAATAATTTTTCATAAAACCTTTTAAAGTGATTAAAATATGCTCAATTTTATTCCACTAATGAAAACAATTACACTATGCCCAAAAATAGCTAATATCTGATGCAACAGATGGCTCAGAAAAATCAATTTGAGCAGGTTTCCATCACTTTAGGTATTAACATGAACTACATTTTCATGAATGTACAGAGCAAGATAATTATTGAAATTTGTAGTGGCACCTCTCAAATTCACATCCCCTATAAATTATGCCGCTCTACAACGAACGAAATTCACATCGGATCTCTCCTTCATATTTAAAATTAGATGGAAAAATCTAGAGATGAAAGTAATGAAACTTTCTGGTGGGTCCCTTGGTGGCTCCCTGGATAGGCCTACAAATATGTCACGCCATACCTTTGTGAACCATAAACCCTATAAGAAAGAATCTGTGCCACTCAAACATGGGAAACTGGGGATATTAGATCAACCCAGAATAAGAAGAAATACGTACCACCAGAAATGTAGAGTAGACAAAACCAACTGCATGGAAAATTAAGTAAAATGGAACCGAGGTCCACAGGATTTTGAAGAAGCCATAAACAGTATGCCTATGCACTCTGCACCAGGCCCTGATTCTAGGAACTCCATATTCATCAAGAACTGTAAAAAACCACTATCGCAGGCCCTTCACATTCTTTGGAGACAAAGCCTAGATACTGGCTTTGTCCCTGACATACTAAAAACAACAGATAGCACCACTCCATAGAGGAAATAAGACAGAGGTAAAAAATTACAGACGGATACATGGAATCCCAGCATCTCCATAACCCCGAACAACATGATTTCAGAACAGGGCGCTCTTGCCTGTCACAGTTGCTGGACCACTATGACATAGCATTAGATGCCATGGAAGGCAAACAAAACGCTTATGTAATTTACAGATTTCACAAAAGCCTTTGACAAATGTGACCATGGTGTTATTGCACATAAAATGCGTTCAAAGGGAATTGCCAGAAAAATAGGCAGATGTATCAACAATTTCCTTACTAACAGAACCCAATGTGTAATAGTCGACAAAATAAAATCCGGTCCATCAACCATGAAGGGTTCAGTCTCCCCAGGGTACTGTGCTTGCTCCAGTAGTTTTTCTCATCTTCATATCAGACAGACAAGGACAATCTACAGTACTGTATCATCCTTTGCAGATGACACTAGGATTTTCATGAGTAGACGACATAGAGGACACGGCAAACCTCCAATCAATGTAAATCAGGTCTTTCTATGGGCTACTGAAAATCATAGTTTAACGAAGATAAGGTCCATCTCATGCACCATGGAAAAATTAAAATATAAAAACGGAAACCATGTACAAAACTCAGTCAAATCATAACATAGAACGAAAAGGCAATGTAAAGGATTTGGGTGTACTCATGTCGGAAGATCTTAACTTCAAAGAACACAATAAAGTAGCCGTCACAACTGCAAGATGACAGGTTGGATAACAAGAACCTTTCACACTAGAGATGCTATGATGATACTTTTCAAGATGCTAGTGCTCTCTAGAGTTGAGTACTTTCAAAGCTGGAGAAATTGCTGACCTGGACTCGCCAGATTGAGAGTCCTGGCGAGTCCACCAGGTCAGAGGAGAGCAGCAAGTAACCAGAAAAGGAGATCAGTGTTGGAGAGCCATACCTAATGCCACACAAGCCCAGAGATATTAAAATGCCACCAGCACCCTAATTCAAACAACCCGTCTCAACTACCGTGTCTCATTTTGTATGTTAAGGTCCCAAACATACAAATTATAAAGTACTGTACTATGAAAAGTATTTGCTCACAAGAGTCCACATTATTGATGCATTGGTATGTTATGTTATATTTGGTGGGTGCCTACTGTTCGTGTTAATGATTTGGTTAGTACTTTAGATAACGGGCAGATTCAAACATGAGAACCCACAAGCCCAAATATCAGCCCAAAACATATTGGAGACAACCACAGAAAGTCGTGATCATACGCCCTCAGGTAGACCACAGGCTGGATGGAGTAGATATTACCAAAGTTTTTCAAAACTTTTAGGAGTTTTGCTACCTCCTAAACTCATCCTAGAGGTAGGCTTATTTTGCGATAACTTTGTCCACAAGGCTCTTATGGAGCAGCCCACATATCCACCAACCAGTTGGTTTGGAACTTCAAGAGGTTAACACATTCAATGATTAATCTTAATGACTGTAGGTGTCCCGAGACAAGCAGACCACCACTTTAAGGGGGGGGGGGTCTCCAAAGCATCCAAATTGGCAGTGGGAAAACTGTTCACAAAGTGGCAGTCGCCTCATAAGCCCCACCCTGAGAAGGGGCCTCAGCCAAATCAGAAACCCAATGATGACATCGCAGGCTCCAGGGGTAAAAGCTATCCAAAATCAAATAGGTTGAGGTGTCGACATGAAGAGATCAATGTGGGGTCACACTAGGCACAACTGATTAGGTTTACCTGGTTGGACTTTGGCCTGCCAGGGTCATCATATGGCAGTGGGAAGCATGTAACTAACAATGCTATCTGATTACTGTCCCCCTTGTTGTGTTAATATTTTCTTTGCAGTTGTACAGTTTCTGACATTCTACCTTATTGGTGACATTTCCTTTTAGACTGTGATAAGAATATCTCCAGTTCCCTGTGCTTCCGAGAGAACCTGATTGTGTCACTAGTAGGCATTTTTACGACATGCAAGGGCCTGATGTGACATGATACACAGAGCTATCCAGGTGGCTTAACTCCAGGGAGCCACTAAACAATCCCTCCCAGAAAGTTCAGATTCAGGAAGGGGACCACTGAGAAATCCTGACCATTATAGGGATTTCCTACAAAGCATATTTTTTCACATTTTATATTTGTGTTTTATCATTCAATGGGGTTAAGAGTTTAGATTAGTGGAAATGCCAGAAATGTAATTCTGAAAATGGTTATCAAACCATATCTTCTAAATTATCTACTAGAACAAGGTAAATATATTTTGAAGAAAATCACAAATTAAAGTAGCTTTGGGCATTGAAAAGTCGATGGACCTGGTTGAAGTCAATTTTTTGGTTACATCATCTTGGGGGTCACAGGCCTATTTTTTAAAAATATGCTTAGATAGTGGAAGTCGAGAAATACTGCAATGAACATGAAATCATTTTATCAACAGGGTTCTTTGGATGTATTTCTTCATGAGGTGTTTAAATTTAAAATTTGCCTCTAAAATCTACCCAAGGAGCACAGGAAATTTTTTGGGTATAAATTTTAACTCCTTAAAATGGTTCATCACATTTTGAAAAATGTTTGCAAATAATTGGGAAACTAAAGGGTTTGTGCCTTGGAAAAAGCCAATGAGTATATTTCAAAACACATTTTATGGTTCACTTATTTTGAGTGTTACATTACAAATACAGAGTTTTCAATAGGCTAAAAATGAGTGCTTTTGAAAGTCTAGATTCCTAAACCACCTTAGCACACTACCCTTTACCTTCTGCTATAATTTATTCTACACATTTTTATTCTTCACTTTCACAGCAGCTTAAAACTTCTTTTCTACTGCTTGCCTTTTTCCTGATGACTTAGGATGACACATCCATACTTTGGGGTGGGTTTGTCTATGGCCTATAACAGACTGCCTTACCTCTGAGCCCATACTAACCCATCATGTTTAGATAGTATTTTTTGTAACTATGTGCCCCATAATACAAAGATTGACATACTAAACAATTAGTACAATTTTGTACTATTCAATTTAGACAAAAAATGAAACTAAAAACAAACTTGAATATCACTAGGCCTAGCATACATAGCACACACACACACATACTATATTAGGCCTCGGATAGCATGTATTAGGCCTAGGAAGGTTAGGTCAGATTAGTTTGTCTTTGCAACACGAGTAAAAAACCGATTTCCAGTTTATTCAAATTCAACAGTACAGATCTACTTTCTAATTGTGTTGTACGTCAGTATATTTACTATGGTCCTCATCCTTACTGTAAGTGCTGTACTACCGAAACAGGAGGATGGCCTGCCCATACCCTCCCAATTCATCACACTAAGCCTCTTTTTTTTTTTTTATTTATTTATTTTATTATGCACACCCATACCCATATCATAGTTAGTGGTGGAAAGGGTTACAGAGGCACATAAGAGGTTCAGGAACTGAACCTCACAGTTCCTGAACGTGATGTGAATTCACAGGAGAAACCGACTCATCATTGATTATTTCATTATATCTGAGCTGGTTTCTTTCAAAGAGTTATATAGAATTAAATGGAAAGTCATTGGTTGCAAACTTATAGTGCACTTACCTCAATAACACCACTGGAAGACTTCTTTAAAGCTGCCACTATTACTGCAATATCTGTAGATAATGCTGCCAAACGTTTGAACTTTGTCATGGTCTCTAGAGCAATCCATCCATCATCATTCTTTATCTAAAATTTACATTACAAGGGAATAAGCACAATTATATTTTTAAAAACAATTAGTTTACATAATCTTTTTCTATAAACCATTCAAATGCTATAACAAATTACCAATCCTGATTTTTTTTTAAAAGGTGGACAAAAAAGTAAACAATCTCGGTAATAACACAAGACGCGCTTAAACAAATCAAAGGGTAGGTCAGACTAGAGGATTAGACAATCTTCAGGAGCCCAGCATATAAATGACTTTGTTGAAATGAAATGAAATTCAACCCAAACAAGTATGTTATGTCAATGGGTAATGTTAAAAGACGCTAGTCTACCGCCTAAGTGAATGAGTGTCTTTAGATCATAAATAAAAACTGCAGTCCCTAACTTCTTTTCTTAACCACTGTACTGCACAGAACACTAAGGCACTTGAGAGCTGTGCCAATTTATTACTTAATTATTCATTTTTTTTTATCACTTTTGAAATGAAAATGGTCGAGTTTAGAAACATTGACATTAACTTTACCTGAACATTTATATAAACAACATGTCCTTGACAATTGCACTATGAAGTTTTTACCAAAACCAGGTGTGCAGTGGTGGTAAGACCCTGATTTTTTGCATGTGGATCTGCTATATTAACCTGCTCCATCATTCCCAGCACCACCAACAGTATTGCTTGTGTCTACATGGTCACATGGGATGGTACAAAAAGTTTCTGCTAGGCCGAGGTTTCCTAGTCAGTAGTACAGTATTTAGATTTCTCCATGTATTACCTAGATCTTGTTAGGGCCTATTTAGATTATGTAGTTCAATTTTGGTCACTACAGACTGGACATAAATTTACTTTAATGCATCCAGGATAGTTAATCCCAGGAATTACAAACTTTACACAGGGAGAGATTAAGAAAGCTAAATTTACTTTATCTAGAAAAGGCAGCATGTACAGGGTGATATAATATATAAAAGGATGAATATGTATATCAGAGGATACTAATAAGGTGATAAAGATATGAGCACAAAACAATGGATATAAATTGGAGAGGATTAGATTTAGGAAAGTCCCGAGTTACTACTGGCTTAGAAATAGGGTGGTTGATTTGTGAAAGAAATTACCAGGAAACAAAATGAATGTGGGATCACTATTGTTTGAAGCATAGAAAGAGTAAAGAGTGATATGTAGAGAGGCTCGGAACATTTATGGTCAGGTGTAAGACGAGGTGTCGAAACGTTACAGTGTATTTTAATACCAACATTCCAACCCTTTGCTTTGTGAGAAGTTTAATAGTTATTAAGCATTTGTTTTGATGGTTTAGCACTTTCCCAGAACATTTCTTGTGGGTAGTTGGATATTTTGACAGTACAGTAATAACTGATATCTGGTCCCCATGTAATGGGTACAAGGGAAATTTAAAAGGGGTTTTGATTCTATTAGGCAGCAAGTCTATGGATACCTAGCATTATCAATATCTGACGAGTAATGGCTAGAGCACAAGCTAAGGGAGACACCAAAAGCAAAGCCATTGTTTTATTAAAAACATAGAAAATGACTGGTGATTAAGGTGGCGATTCAGCCAGATTATTGTGGCGAGGATGAAGTATCAATTTTGATGGAAGTGGCTTATGTGCAGTCTGGTTTCTTTGTGAAAACACAGTGCAAGTTCTTGAAAGTTTCAAGCCAATACACAAAAGGTATTTTGCAAGTATCAAAGGACAATGTACACTAAAAAAAATAAAAAATCTGAAAACTAAAAGTAATCTATACAGGGAAGATACACTATGTCGTAGATATTTATTAGATGCCTCACTAAAAGCAAGTTTAAACATGACAATAGCAAAAGGCACCTATACTAGAGATAATTAATAATTAAACACAGTATAATGGCAAGTACTGTTCAAGTAATATTACGGAAAAGGAAAAATGAAAAAGAATAAAAAATTATGCTCACCTCCTCCTGCAAAAACTTGTCTCTTGGGAGATTATAGTCACCAAAGTAATACTCGACTTGGCGAATGATCTTTGTTTCAACATCTTTGGTCTGGTCTGCATCGGCTGTCTGGCCATTGGTGGTTGCCTCACCCTCAGTCATGGTGACAAGTGACTTATTGTATATCCTTCTGCAAACCAATTAATCCTAAGATTAACATTCCCCAGTTATGTTACAGGAGAATGCTACCATAAATTTAGACAAAGATCAATAAAATAAAATACTACATGCGTCTGATACGCATGTAGTATCAGTATGCGTCAAATACTGATTACTATTAACTATACAATACTAGGGTAAAGTTGCTGGTTTCTGGATGTGAAGCCATTGACATACTATATATATATGGACCAAATCAGTTTTACGTTTATTGCAAGTTATGTTTGGAATCTAAAGACGCTGTTCTCTAGAATTATACTAGAAAGGATACTGGACATAATATACCCACAGATTTTAGCAAAACTCTTGCAGCATCCTGAGTTTCATAGAATGGCAATTCTCAGAATACCCTGGTGCTGGTCAGTAGACAAATGGATATTTTACCAATTACTAAAAGTTTGTGGTGTAAACATGTGTAGTACATTTATAATACATGTATAATGAAAATGTGAAAGCACATTACTGTAATATAATTATCATCAAACATTGTAATGTACATAACCTGTGGTCAGGTCATCAGTTTTTTTGTCTCTTGTCAAGTTCATGGTCAACAATACACCCCACTTATTGGATTATATACTAGACGAGTATTTTATCACAGGCTGTATAACAACAATCCTTAACACTTGTGTTGAAATTCAACATTCTATCGAATGATTAAGTTGGCAACTATATAACCCCATGTTTTAAGGAGTTTCACCAGCATAAACATGTACAGTACTTTATAATGTTTATAACGAAGAACCGAGTGACAAGTTTAATTGACTACCTTTAAGCCTCTTACAATGTTCATTTGCACTATAATCCAGGGCATATGAGTATGAAGAGGGAGGGAGGGGGAGAGGATGAAGGGTTGAAAATATTTTCAGCAAATGAAGTCACAATAACGTGGCTGAAAAATATTGACCAAACCACACTGCAAATTGAAGAGACGACGACGTTTCAGTCCACCCTGGACCATTATGAAGTAGATTGCTTATATTTTAAATTAACTTCATCTTTCAAGCTAGTGCAACAATCCCCCAATTGTAGATTTTACTGGGACCCCTGGCCTGACCATTCCCCCAACCTCACCAAAAATTCATTTCAGAGACGTACTATTTGGAGACCATTTTTAACAATTTATTCACTTAAAATGTACTTAATGTTAACGGGTGACTTTTTACAATATTGTTGTAAATCAAAGATACACGTCACACTAGCAACTACTGGATTGTCTCGCAATCCATGTGTGAACCATCGGATGTACCCCCCGCTCCAGTTTACTTGGTTAGGTAACCGACGCATGACGAGCCTGTAGCTTATGCTTATGCATGACGAGCCTGTGGCTTATGCTTATGCATGACGAGCCTGTGGCCTCACTCGCCCCAAGGTAAACCTAACCAACATTACTGTGTCAGTCCCCGTGGCGTAGTGGCAAGACGTTCTCCTGGCGTTTCGCGAGCATTTTGTCCTGGGTTCATATCCTGGCCGGGGAGGATTTACTGGATGTCAATCCTTAACTGTAGCCTGTTTAACCCAACAGTAAAATGAGTACCTGGTTGTTAAACGATTTGGCGGGTCGTATTCCTGGGAACATAGGATTAAGGACTTGCCTGAAACGCTGTGCTAATGGCTGTACAAGAATGTAAAGGAATGTAAGAACTCAAAAAAATACGGCATTTCAAACTTGGCCCACGTACACTATGCTAACAAACTGTAGCAACACGTGTACACACACACCAACCTGGTGACCTTGTTACAAATACTACCCAAGAAGAATAAATAATAATAAAAATAGCCAACATATCAATTCTGATAATATATACAGACTAAGAGTAACCCAGGGAGGCTACTGGTGGTGTGGGGGGTCGAGGCGCAGTGTGGCTGTCCGTCCCCACTCACATCACCCCTGCACACTCACTCACTCAACGGCACTCACGTGTACTCACTAGAGCACTACTACACACCTCACACCCCCACGCTAGCCAGAGTCAGGTTACAGGACAAGATGTGTGTTCACGTGGTGTGGGTGGTGGAGGCGTCGGTCCGTGTGGCAGCGGCGGCGGTGGTGGTGGTGGTGGTGGTGGTGGCAGACACTACGAGCCCTCACACACTCACACGAGTCAGTACCCTCACACATAGCATCATCTTCTCTTTCCACTCTTATACCACCTTTTATACTTGAATCCTTCTTATATCACTTATTTCATGTGTAAAAAAATACTATTCAGGCATTTATTAAGTAAAACACTGGAATGCCAGGACTTATAAAAGCTTTTTCTCACATGTAACAGACGCTCATTTGTGCTTAAACTGTAACGTTCTGTAAAACAACTGTAAGGTGTCTAATCACTCGCTCATCCACTCAAAAAATCATTATTTGTAAAATGTATTACAAATTGGATGTTATTCGAACAGATGTTGCTAACTTGATTGAAAAGTTTTGTCAAGACCACCAAAATCTGCATAACGTCCCTACATATAAGCTACAAAAGTAAACAAGCGTGAATTTAATATCAATCCTGCGGCAGGAATAATATCATGCGTGTAATATTGTAGTCGAGAAGTCAAGAATTGCTAAATGTAATAATTGAATTATTATGTCTAAAGCAGGAAGACAGTGTACACATACTTTTTAGGCTTGTATCCAGATTCTGCCAAGGTCGAATTACTCAAATATAACAACCCAAAGAGCTCTTAAGATACAGAGAAAAAAATACATTTTCACATTGTATCCATGCCCTGAGAAATAATGAAGATCAATTTTTCGTAGTATTAAGCCTAATAACACTACTACACCGGTCAGACGAAACACCTGGATAAACTAGCGGCCTAGGAGGCCGCGGTGTCTTCCGGGCTACACCGGAAGGACTGGTACATCAATACCAGGCCCTAGGCATCTGTACCAGGCATCAGAACTAGGCCCCTAGGCATCCTACCGGACCTTAGGCATCAGTACAAGGGCCCTGGGCATCCGTACCAGGCCCCAGGGATTCGTCTCAGGCCACAAGCGTCGGTACTAGGCACCAATACCCGGCCCTAGGCATCAGGACCAATGGCCCCGAGCAAGGTATGCTGAACCCAAGGCCGCCCAGTGATTCTCAGAGCAAATGATGGCCCGGAGGCCCAAGAATAGTAAAGCACGGGTCATGTACTAACAAGCGTGAGCGCGACGCAATCCCGCGAGGCGTCCTCAAACTAGAGCGTGGGAGGGAGGCTGTCCTGACGCCTTCGAAAGCTACAACGAGCAAGAGAAAAAACGGTCGGGAGGCCTGCGGGCGCCAGTCCTAGGATAAGCCCAGCAGGCCGCGGGAAGCCAAGGCTCACCCGGACTACACCATGCCGACAAAACGGCGGGATAGACCAGCAGGCTGGGGAGCCGCGGTTCTTCCGAGCGAGAACGGGCAGACTGGCGTCCGGAATAAGAATCCAGCAGGCTGGGAAGCCGCGGTTCTTACGGGCTAGGAAATGCGTCCCCAGGCACAGACCAAGCAACTGAATAGACAAAGCCGACGGCAAGGAGCGAAACGTACCGTCGCCTAAGGCCTTCCAGTCACCCAGGCGGGCGGGAAACCTAGCCCAAGATCGCCCAGAAGAGGCTGGGGAGGGCGTGGAGGAGGCTAGCTAAAGCAGCACGAGCACGGGCAAGGACACGCACCCCGTAGGGACAGGCGCTGGGCACACGCCGGAATACACTATGGACGGCTCAAACTAGGGAGGGTGGGGGACGCACAGAGCGCGTCGGTAGTTGAGAAAACAAAACTGTACCTTAGTGTGTCGGGTGTGGGGCAGGAGGTCCCAGTCGGTTCGTCCTTAGAAGTCGATGATGCCTAGTCAGACTAAGTCCTTGGTGGTGCTTGGCGTCCTAAGGCACGTGGGCGGCGAGTAGGTGGAAGTGCGTGGATTTGCTTGTGAAACGGACCCGACTGGAGGTGAACAGAGGTCGTGACCTCCCCGCACGCGTTTAAGTATCCCCCACTTGCTGCGCGCGCGGCCGCGGCGCATGCCGCAAAGCGCTGTTCGTATGTCCCCCCTCCCAGAAACTCCACCGTTTTTAATCAAGCAGTGTCCATATTTCAATCATAGCATTTCTTGAGCATCCTAAGATAATTTTCATGACATCATTTTGTACCTTCTCCAACTTGACCATCCTATCTTTACCAAAACAAGAAATGACAGGTAATAAGGGATTACCTGGCAGCATAATCAGTTAGGGATTTTACAGTACTCAAGTATATCATTCGTAGCACAGGGACTACCACTCCCTTTCCACGGCATGCCAAGGCCTTCAGAGATTGTAATCTCTTCCGACATTGATCCAACAGTTTGTTCATCTCAGCTTCCAAACTCTCATGGGTATATCCAACATTATAAATATTTATATATATTAACTCTCTCTATATTCTTACCGTTTATTTTCAATATAATGGGCCTCCGAATTCTACATTCAAACTTAGTTTTGTCTTCATTAACCACCAGTCCCATATGGTGACACAGATTTCCGAAATTATCCAACACCGTTTCAATCTTTGCCCTGAAACAAAATATCATCGTCATATATGATCGGAGTTACCCCATTTGAGTATCTCTCAGATGCTATCTTATTCATTAGTATATTAAACAGGATGGGACTCAACACTCCTCTCAGAGGTGTCCCGAGTTCAAAAGATCTCACACCTGACACACAACCTTGATACCACACCCGAGCCTTCCTTTCGTAAAGATAATCTATCCAGCTCAATAATCTTCCTTTAACACTAAGACCAGCTAGTTCATATAATATAACTTCTTTGTTAGCTTTATCAAAAGCTCCTTGTAAATCAATAAAGTAAAGTAAAGTAAATTTTATTCAGGAAGGTACATACATAGTTGATTTACAAACATAATGTTGGATTTATAGATAGAGCTAGTACATACAATACCTAAAGCTACTAGTACGCATAGCGTTTCGGGAAAGGTGAGGTGGGGAAAAAACACTTAGACTAAAACTTAATAGTAATTGAGCTTAAGGTATAAATTGCGTTGAAAAAAGATAAAAAAGGGGGGGGAACATGGTAAAAAATAGCCAATATACAAGTTGGTCAACAAACAGCATTGTTTAAAAATAGTAAGACATGGGTTGACATTTAGGGGTGAGGTAGGTACATGGAGTTAATTAGGTAGTACTTGGTTTTCATCTTAAACTGGTTGAGAGAGGTACAGCCTTTGACATGATTGGGAAGGTCATTCCACATTCTGGGTCCCTTGATTTGTAGAGCATTTCTAGTTTGATTAAGTCGTGCTCTTGGAATATCAAATAGGTATTTGTTTCTGGTGTGGTGCCCATGGGTTCTGTTACATCCTTCCATGAAGCTTTTAAGGTCAGGATTGACATTACAGTTCAGTGTTTTAAATATATAGAGTACACATGAGAGGATGTGCAGTGACTTAATATCTAACATATTCAGAGATTTGAGTAAGGGTACCGAGTGCTGTCTGGGGCCAGAGTTGGATATTGTTCTAATAGAAGCTTTGTGTTGGGTAATTAGAGGACGTAAATGATTTTGGGTAGTAGAACCCCAAGCACAAATACTATAGTTGACAAAATAAAAATAAAATAATCTATATAAAACATAAAAAATCTATAGTGATCATTATTATTAGCTAGACATTTATTAATACAGTCAGAGGTACTTTTGCCTCTGAGGAACCCGAACAAATTACTAGACAGCTGATCACCTATTATATATAAAAGTCTGTTTAAAATTATCCTCTCCGTCATTTTACAAAAACACGAGGTTAAGGACACAGGTCTGTACTCTCCATTGGTTTTAAGGATAGGGTTGATAATAGCTTTTTTTCCATTTACTAGGAATACTGCCCTCTTTATAACTAATATTAAAGAGGTCTACCAGTGGGCTTTTCTTCATAATGGCAATTTCATTAAGTATTTCATATGTTACTCCATCCTCCCCAGGGGCGGTAGATTTCCCAACTTTAATCGCCATTATTAGTTCATCTTTGGTAATACTGTACCTGTATGGTATACCATAAAATAGGTTTAAGAATGTTAGAGACATTAGGCAGATCATTGATGTATATAAGAAATAAGAGAGGTCCCAAGATGCTGCCCTGTGGCACTCCAACGGTTATTGGTAGAGTGGGAGAGGTTATATCATTGATGGCTACACATTGGTGTCTGTCACTAAGATAGGATTGAATATAGTCCAGGGCATGGCCTCGGATTCCATAATGATGGAGTTTACGTAAGAGGTAGTTGTGATTAACAGTATCAAAGGCCTTAGGTCAATGAAGAGTCCAACCGGAAACTCATTTTTGTTAAGGGCTGAATAAATTATATCAAGGAGACTAATAATTGCATCGTTGGTACTCTTTTGGGAGCGAAAGCCAAACTGACAGGGGCTGAGTATGTCGAATTTACGAGGTAGGAGTAGAGATGTTTGTAGATAATTTTTTCAAATATATTTGATAGTATGGGTAGGTTTGATATTGGTCTATAATTGTTTATGTCTGCCGGATTGCCTCCTTTATGAACTGGCGTTACTCTTGCTTTTTTAAGGATATCAGGGAAGGTATGACACTCTAGGGATTTGTTGAACAGCAGAGCTATGGGTGGCGCAAGGGCATGGGAGTTTTAGTTTAATTCATTTATTATGCACCCGATACCCATCTTGTGGGCGGTAGTGGAAAGGGTTACAGAGGCACATAATGGGCTCAGGGACTGAACCCCACAATTCATTTAGCTAAGCAAGTTACAATCTTGATGAGCTAGTTACAAAATTCAGTACAAGTCGTCACATCAACAATGGGTTCGAGATCGACCACAAGTACAGTTTCTAAATTAAGCAACTGACATATGTGGAGAGCTAGTGTCACAATTTATATGTTTGTCCTGCACACCGCCCCCATCCGGTGGTCAGCGGTGATAGGTTACAATCACTAAGTTACTACCTACAGTTAGCAAACGGGATATTTGGCTAAAATTTCTGGTAGCAGATAATTTTGAATGAAATATTTACACATCGTTGGAACATTGGTTATAGAATTGTCTCTAAATTCACGTATCTTTTCGCACTCCATCACATAGTGACGGAAGGTGTGC